GCATACTTGCAAACGTGCACAAGGGCACGCACACACAGGTGCACACACGTGCACACTCATGCACGGGCATGTGCACATGCACACACACAGGCACACGCACTTGCACACGGGTGCACGGGCTCACATGCATATTTGCAAACGTGCACAAGGGCACGCGCACACACACGTGCACACGCACACACAGGTGCACACACAGGTGCACACACTCATGCACGGGCATGTGCACATGCATGCACACACACAGGCACACACTTGCACACAGGGGTGCACGGGCTCACATGCATACTTGCAAACGTGCGCAAGGGCACGTGCACACACACGTGCACATGCACACACACGTGCACACTCATGCACAGGCATGTGCACATGCATGCACACACACAGGCACACGCACTTGCACACAGGGGTGCACGGGCTCACATGCATACTTGCAAACGTGCGCAAGGGCACGCGCACACACACGTGCACACGCACACACACGTGCACACTCATGCACGGGCATGTGCACATGCATGCACACACACAGGCACACGCACTTGCACACAGGGGTGCACGGGCTCACATGCATACTTGCAAACGTGCACAAGGGCACACGCACACATGTGCACATGCACACACATGTGCACACTCATGCACGGGCATGTGCACATGCATGCACACACAGGCACACGCACTTGCACACGGGTGCACGGGCTCACTTGCATACCTCAAACGTGCACAAGGGCACGTGCACAGAGGTGCACACACACGTGCACACTCATGCACGGGCATGTGCACATGCACACACACAGGCACACGCACTTGCACACAGGGGTGCACGGGCTCACATGCATACTTGCAAACGTGCACAAGGGCACGCACACACACACGTGCACACACACACACAGGTGCACACACACACACGCCCCACCTGAAGCAGCTCCGGTGGTAGAGCTTCCCGTCAGCCAAGTGTCGCTGCACGAGGTGCACGTGCTTGCTGCAGACCCCACAGGTGCTGCTGACGGAGCTGCTCGCGGAGGCCTGGCCCTTGGGAAGGGTGCCAGCTGACATTTCTGAGCCCCGCCCCCCCACAGGCCTCCCTCCTGACAGCTGCCCCATCAGCGGGCAAAAAGATCCCCCTTTACAGACCAGGAAACTGAGGTCCCGAGGGGAGCAGCCTGCCAGGCGCAGCCAGGAGGGCCCGTGCCCAGGCTGGCTGGACTCCAAGTTCAGGATCTGCAGCCCAGCCCCAGGAGAGGGGCCAGGGACCTGACCTCGGGGGTCTGGGGGCACCGGGGACAGATACCCGCGCTCCTGGGGCCACCTGAGGGGCAGCAGTCCTAACGCCAGGCCAAGGTTAGCTCCCCACGCTGACCAGCAGGGGGCGCCCGACCCCAGCATATCACCCGTCTCCACCCCCGCTCTGAAAGTGGGGGTACCCTAACGCCCCCAGCAGGTGGGAAGGACACACTCAGGATTCTCCCCTGGTCCACCCAGAAGGGAGGGGCAGGAGGCCAGAAAAGTCTGGGTTCAGGGTCCCAGCTCTGCTCGGCCTGCACCACCTCCCTGGGCCTCAGTTACCTATCTGTACGATGGGGATCCTATCCGAACCGTGCAGAATTGAAGGAGCCCGTGAAGCCGATACTCATGAACGGCGGCTGAGGCCGTGCCTGGGAGTCAAGGGGACCCCCATCCCAGGTGGTGCAGGGGTCACACTCGGTCCCAAGGCCGGAGGGAAGGCGGGGCTAGGGTGCTTACGGTCTTCAGCAGGAGGCCCCCTGAGCTTCTGTCCTTCCACTGGACGGCGGGGTCTGTGCTGGTTGGAGACAGTGGCTGCCCCTGGGCTGGAGTGGGTGAGGGCCTGGCCAGCTGGGATGGGGCCTTCTTCCCGGACGGTTCCTCATTGGAGTCTGACGGGGGTCTCTTGATACCAGCCATGCCCCCAACTGGCACGAGACAAGTAGGGTCAGGCTCTGAAAGCATCTGGGGCCACCCCTGGCCCGGGTCCCCCGCAGGAGCCCAGGGCTATGGGGAGGGGCGGCTCCTGCTGTCCGGGGACACGGGAGGGGCCGCTGGGAGCGGCCACAGGCGCACATTCCCAGCAGGGGCCTGACCTCATACACACCCCTCCCCTCCGGCTCTGAGAGCCCCAATGTGGGGTCAGGGAAGTGGAACTTTTCTGTTTCTCCACAAAGTGGAAATATTAAGGCGGGGCTGGTCCTGTGCCCAGAGTGATTCCGGGGATTTCTAAGGCCTGGATGAGGAATGTGGGGGGGAGGGGAAGTGGCTGAGCTTCGGGGTGCACAAAGCAGCCAGAATAAAGTCCTTGGGCCTGTCCCCAACCCACCTGCCCTGCCTGGAGGCCCCACCCCACTAGGGCCAGCCTGGTGTCTATAAGGCCAAATGTCAGGACCAAACGGGGTGGGGGGCCCTCTGGAGCCAGGCCAGGGAGCCCACACGGGGTCTGCAAAGCTGCCTGAGGCAAGAGTTGTGGGCATAGGCTCGAGGGGTGCAGATGGGCAAACTGAGGCCAAGAGTGTAAGGAGAGGCAAGATCTGGGCGCATCCATTCGGTGGACAGCTGGTGTGGGGCCTGCAGGGTCTGGACCCGTGCTCATCACTTGCAGCAGCATGGGGGGGGCCTGCTCCCCCGGGGAGGAGGCCACAGCTCAGGGAGCCCCGCACATGTGGCACCAGAAGGGCCTCCCTGCCTGCTTCCTGCCCTGCCGGGCAGCGCTGAAAACTGCTATTAAGCTGGCGGGGGGCGTCGCGGAGGCCTGAGAGGGCAGGCCATGCAGAGGTCATGCAGAGACTCACTGGGGGAGCGTCCGTGGAAGTAGTTATAGTACTGGGACACGTAGGTCAGGATGCTCAGCCGGTCTGGCACCTTCAGGGCCACCATGTCCTCAGCGTCCAGCAGGGCTGGGATGCCCAGCTTCTCCTCGGCCACACGGAAGGCCTGGGGGAGTGGTCAGCATGGGTGGGCTTGGAGACACCCCTTCCTCCTTCTCCGCCAGGAAGGAGGCCAGAAACCCGCTCAGGCCCAGAAAGGTCTGGGTTCAAGGTTTGCGCTCTGCTCTGGGTTCAAGATTTGAGCTCTGCTCAGGCTGCATGACCTCCCTGAGCCTCAGTTTCCCAGTCTGTACAAGAGGGACCATAGCCTGGCCACACAGGGTTGAAGGAGCTGGGGAGCCAGTCCCTGCCATGGCCAGCCTGGCGCCGCCCGCCTGCCAATGCCCGTCCCTCACCTGACGATCCTCAAGTCCCCATCTGCACCCTTCCCCTAAATTGCTGAGATGCCCACACCACGTCTGAGGGGGACACCTCAGTCTTCATGTGTCCAAAACGGGGTTCCAGGGGTGACCTTCCCACCATGCTCAGGCCAAAGGCCTCGAATCTCCTTTGACTCCCCTTCAAAACACATCCAGAATCTGACTCTTCCTGCTGCCACCATCATCCCCTAGCCCCCCACTCTGCTGTCAACACAGATCCTGTGGACCTGGAGCACTCCCAGCACAGCAACCCTCGGAGAGCAGGCCAAGCGCTTCCCACGCCCGGCCTGCCCTCACTCTGTTCCGGCCGCCCCCACTCTGCTCCTGCTGCCCCCACTCTGCTCCTGCCGCCCCCACTCTGCTCTGGCCACCCCCACTCTGCTCTGGCCACATCCCTACTCTGTTCCCTCCGCACCCCCACTCTTCTCCGGCCACGCCCCCACTGTTCCCCCCAGGCCCCCACTCTGCTCCCGCTGCCCCCACTCTGCTCCGGCCGCACCCCTACTTTGCTCCAGCTGCGACCCCCTCGCTGTTTCTCCTACCAGCCAGGTACCCTCCGGCCCAGCGCCCTTGCGCCGGCAGACCCCCACCAGGCTCGCCCCTCCCAGAAGCGCCCAGGCGGCTCCATCTTTCCTGGGCGAGGCCTGCCCTGTCCCCCCAGGATGACCGCACACAGCTCTGCTGCACTGTCCCCATGTGTTCGTCCCAGGACTGGTCCTCCCAGAAGCACCTCTGGTCCCCGCTCTGCCTTGGATGGGAACCGAGGCCCAGCCACTCCCGACCCGTCCTTCCCTGACAGGAAGAAGGGGCCCAGGAGGGCGCCGGCGCTGGACCAGAGGCTATACCTGGGCTTGGGTCACCCGGCTCAGGACAGGCTGCGGAGCTCAGCAGCGCGTCTCTGGCCGCCGGGTGCTCGCCTGCGGGGCCGGCCCCTCCCGCAACTGCCCTGGTGGTGCCCGAGGGAACCTGGGACCTGGGTGACGCCAGCGAGCAAGCAGGAGCAGGGGCACTCACCAGTTTGTTGTTCTCATAAATGTCTTCCTTCCTGAGAGCGTCAAAGTCTCTGGAAGAGAAAAATGCAGGCGTCCAAAGCAGCTCAGGGAGGGAGACCGAGGCCGGGGGTGGCAGCTGTGAAGGCACGAGGTCACTCGGCAGCCACGAGTGGGTGGAGCCGGCCCTGCTCCGGGCTCAGCAGCGCCCGCCGGCACCCCGGAGACCATCGGCGCCCGCAGCCACGGCCCTCACCTCTGGTGCCCTGCAGAGGCTGAGCCCTTACCCCCCGCTGCCAGGCTCACACACGGGCTCTGGGCGGCGGGTCCCCACGGGGGGGGAAGGGCCACGGCCAAGCCAGGACCCACTGCAGGGGCCTGTCCTCCCACAGCCACCTCTGTCAAGACAAAGACACCAGCCTGGGCAGTGCAGCCGGGCACACGTCCAAGTGGGCTGCTTCCAAACTCCCAGAAGCTCATGGCCTCATGGGTCACGGGGGGCCCATGTCCCAGGGGTGAGACCAGGGGGTGGGCATAAAAGGCAGTGGGGTCGTAGTCCCACGCTGCCCACTGGTCAGGCCCCCCACACACTTGACCTTGGGGGTGCCGGATGTCCGGGCTGCCAGGCCCAGCCTGGAAGGGACTCGGTGCCCCCACCCAACACGGCACACCTCAGCCCGCCGGCTAGGAGCAGAAAACACAACTGGGCCGGCAGGCGCCTGTCCCGACACAGGCCACTCAAACACCCATCGGCGGGGCCTCCACAGCAGCTCGGCCCCTTCAGTGTGCGCTGGATGGTTCTGGAAGCCCTGCAGCATGGGAAAGGGCTTAGGCAGGAGCCGTGTCCCGACCCAGCCAGGCTGTGCTGTGCAACCCTGGGGGGGCCCCGCCTCGGGCCTCAGCGTCCGCATCTGGGAGGAGGAGAGCAGCTTCCAATGCGAACTGGGGGGCCTGGCTGCGGCGGGGCGTGGCGGCCTTGGCCTGAGGCCACACGGTGGGGAGGGGATGGGGCTGCCGTGTGCCCACCTCCCTCTGAGGAGGCCCCCGCCGGCCTCCAGCCTCGCGTCCGTCACCCTGCCCAGCTTCAGGGAGATCGCACCATCCGCTCAGACCACCTCCCAGGTAACGTGTTCCAGATGCTAAGACCACCCCATGAGCACAGACGGTGCTTTTGTGCACAGGACAAGATGGCGGCAGCTCTGTCTGCAGGTGGACAAATGGCCAGAGGGGCAGCAGGGGCGGGCGCGGCACCTTCCTGCTTCCTCAGCGCGGCCACACGCAGGTCACCCTGGGTCTGTCCCACCAGCGTCCACAGCACGCGGAGTGGCCCGGCTCCAACCGTGGCCCAGGGGGCTCTCGGCAGGCCGGGCCCTCCGTCTGCAGGGGTCCTCTCCCTCCCCCAGCCCAACCCTTTGAAAGTTCAATCTCTTTTCCAGACCTGCCCTGGGTCACTGACCCACACCGCCGCATCCTCAGCAAGATGCCCCGGTGGTGGGAGGGCAGGATAACAAGTTCTGTTTTGTCTGCAAACACGTGGGCTAAGGAGGCCCCCGGCACCCTGCATCTGCTGCGGGGAGTGGGGGGCAACGGCGCGCCTGGCGGATTCGGTGGGGGGGGGGCCGGCGCTTGCTTTGCCCAGACCCTGAGGGAGCACCTCACCGCGGTGGTGCCAGCCCCCCCTGAGCAGGTGCCAAGGCGGGCAGGTCGGAAGCTGCTGAGGTGCCCTTCCACCCAAGGTCAAGGACCACCACTGCCCCGGGACCCTGGGCCCTCAAGGCCTCCGCAGCAGGGCCGGACCCCCCCCCCCCCCGGCCAGTCTCACGGCCACCACACCCCTCCTGAAGCAAGCTCTCCACCCAGAGTCCTGCCCTCCCAGCCTCTCGAGCCCAGGCCACGCTGTTCCCTCCATGCGGAACACACCTGCCCTGCCTGGCACACCCGCCCCGGCCCCTCCCCAGAGGCACCCTGCAGGGCCCCCAGAGGACGCTTGTCTGCTTCTCTGCCGCGTGAGCACACATCCCCCACAGCTTGGGGCTCGGCCGGCGTCGCCTCTGTCCCTAAGGGCTGCTTGGCCCGGCGCTCTGGGGCCAGTGCTGGCAGAAATCTCTGGACTGAGCTGCCCCGCAAACCCCTCAGAGTCCCAAGGAGACCGCGCCCGTCCCCATCAGGAAGTCCAACACGACCGCCATCGGGGACTCTTGTGGGGATGGGCTGAACTGGGACCCACAATGATCTGTTGGAGTCCTAGCCCCCAGGACCTCAAAACGTGACCTTTGGAAACAGGATCTTCTTTGCAGACAGAATCCCGTTCAGATGAGGTCATGACAGTGGGCCCCAATCCAAAATGACTGGCGTCCTTATAAAAAGGGAAATCAGGACCTGGAAGCACACAGAGGGGCGCCGGCCCTCCACCAGCCAAGGGGAGAGGCCCGGAGCCTCCGGAGGGGCCCACCTGCCGGCACCTGACTCAGGGGACGCATGTCTGTTGTTCCGGTCACCCCAGACTGACGGCCCGGCTTTGGCCAACCCTCTGGGAGGCGGCCTGGTGGCACGTAAGGCCCTGCTGGACCAAAACGCATGAGCTGCACCCTCACGGGCCGTTGCGTGGCTGCCCCTCGGCGAGGAAGCTGCAGCCCGAGAGCGGGCACACCGGGTGGGCTGCGGCTCAGGGCACCCCCACCCCTCCCACCCCGGTTAGATCACGCTTCAGTCGAATTCCTGTCATTTAAGTTCAGTTCCGTTCTGGTACAGCTCCAAGGTACCTGCACACAGCAAATGCTGCTGATGGACTCACTCCCAGGCTCGCCAAGCGAGGGGACTTCTGTGGCGTCCGTCTGTCCTTTCGACACCGGCCCACGAGTGTACTCACTGGGTCTACATGTGTGTCCTGTGGCCGCTGACTTGTCTGCCGTCGGCCGGTCGCCAGTGTGTGCCCAGCCCCAGCCCGGCCTGGCCGCGAGAGCCTGAGCCACAGCTGACCAAGACTGTGGACCTCACGCTGTTGTTCCAGCCAGCCCCATGCCCCTAGGCTTTCGGGGCTCTTGGGAATGTGTACCCCCTTCCAAATTCCTGGAGAGCTGACCTCACGCTGTTTATTTCCCGGAACAAAATGCAGCCACGCGGGGGGTGGGCGCTGAGCTGGGAGGGGCTGACCTAAGGGAAGGCGTCTTTTCCAGGCACCCTCAGCACATCTGGAGTTAGTCCCACCAGAAAGGGGAGCGGAGAGGAAGAGGGGACACACACAGAGGTGGAGAGCGACACAGACAAGACCGAAGCCCCACGGCAGAAGGGGAGGGAGACGCTGGGCACATGCTAGCACAGATCTCGGGCCGGGTGGAGGGCATGGGGAGGAATGGGACATGACCAGGTGCCCGAGGCCCGAGGCAGAGAGAAGGGTCCCGGTGGGTGCAGGGCCCAGGGCTCAGGGCCCCACCTCCTTGCACCTGGTGGACAAGTGAGACCCCTCAGCCTTGGCTGCCCAGCTGCAGGCCTCCCCCAGGCCAGAGCAGACCCTGACCCCCAACCCTGGCCCGGGGCAGGGTCCAGCCAAGAGTCAGCCATGGGGCTTCTGTGGTGGCCTGAGGGGGGGCATCACAGGGCACTGGCCCCGGGTAGCCCCGAGGAGGTGGGCTGGCAGCGCTCCCCATGTCCATCCTGGAGAGTCTTGCCGGAAGGCGGCCGCGGGGGCCTGGGCAGCAGGCCCTCAGGCTGGGGAACAGAAGGCCTCTGTCCCCAGGCAGCTTCCTGCTGGCCAAGAGGCCGGTGTGGGAGGGGAGGCCAGCCCAGCTGCCTGGGCCCAGCCCACCCTCTGCTCTGGCCCAGGAAAGGAAGCAGTGCTGTCTCCGAGCATCTGGGTGGGGGCCTCTCCTGACTCCGGACTACGTGCGAGTCTCAGGGCGCGTCTCAGGGAGCCCCGCCGTGGCCAGGGAGACACTCCACCACCACTGGCTCTGCCCCAGCCCTGACATCGGCCTCCCGAGCTGGAGGGACCTGAGAAAGATCAGGTCCCCCCACCATGGGACTGAAGGGCTGGGAGGCCCAGTGAGTCTGCAGCAGAAGCCCCACTTGGGGACACCGTCCACAACCCCTACAAAGGCCCAAGGAAGCCCGGGTGCTTCTGTCAGCTGCTGGGAAGGCCTCCTGCCCCCTCCTTCCTGGTGGCAGCCGCCACCCCTACCTCCTGCGTCTCCCCTGAAAACCTCAGCCACCCCTGGTCAGCCCAGAAAGGGCAGGAGCCTGGCCACACGCTCCACCCTGACAGGTCTACCGCCCGAGGCAGGAAGGGGCTGTTTGTCCTGGGCGGCTCCCGCGCTCACCTGGCTGCTTGGCAGAGGAGGCGTCACTGGGGAAACAGACCTGGGGCGGGCACCCTGGAGGCCCACCCGAGAAAGCCCACAACTCGGGGGCAGGCTGACCAGGGAGGGGCCCGCGCTGGTGCTGCCCGGCCAGCTCTGGTGGGGCGTCTCAGGTGCGCCCGCCTCCCGACCCACGCACCCCTCCGGGGGCCCCCGCGGGGCCACCAGCGCGTTGCATGCGCCTCCCGGGGCAGGGCCGCACGACCCAGCCGCGCAGGGGCAGGAGCGGAGCTGTAGGGGGGGAGCAGCTGACCGCCCCCGTCTGGCTCAGCGCCGGCAGGAGGCCGCGGGGAGGAAGCAGCTCTGGTGCAGTAGGAAGGCTGGGGATGGGGCGCAGGGAAGGCCTTCCTGGTGGCAAAGTCAGAAGACACAGAGCCGGATGTCCACTCTCCCGCGGCCAGAGGGTTTCTGAAGGACAGGGAGCATGGCGGGGGGGCTCGCCCCAGTCTGGCCTCGGAAGCGTCCCCAGGACGGCGGCGTCCCTGGGCATACCCCTTACTGCGTGTTTCCTCCCCTCCCTGCACCCCGGGGGGTGGGTGTGCAGCACGGGGCCTGGGGGCAGGGGAGGGGAGTGTAAGGCACACAAAGGCCGAGCTTGTGCCCCCACTCAGCGTGTGTCGGCACCACCGACGTGCACGGTGTTCCACCAGCCCCTTCAGCACCTGCCACGTATCAAAAGCTGATGTTCTGCTGACCACAAACAGAAACCCACTCCCTCCCAGTTCCGGAGGCCAGAAGTCCAAGATCAAGGCGTCGGCGGGGCCGTGCTCCTTCCGGAGGCTCGCGGGACATCTGTTCCTTGTTCCACGGGCTCCAGGCGTTCCTTGGCTTGTGGCCCCATCACTCCAATCTCGGGCTCCATGGTCACGTGGCCTCCTCTCCCTGCCCCCTGCAAACAGGTACCTGCAGAGCCCAGACTCCTACTATCCCTATGGAGCCCCGAGTGCATGCCCTTGTCTGCAGCTCTCTGACTATGTGCTCCTATCTACCAAGCACCTGGCATGTGCCAGACATAGTTCCAGGCACCGAGGACAGTCAGTGACCAAAAAAGACATCTCCACCCTCCTGGAGCTAAAGGTCAGTCGGGGCAGATGGACAAAAGCCAAGTCAGCAGTAAATGAGATAACTGATGTCCTCGATGTCACTCCCTGAGGCAGGGCCAAGTCCATGTTCTTCAGTTGGCAGTGCTGAGTACACAGCAGGCACTCATTAACGGTTAAAGGAACGGTTATATGACGCCTGCTTGTGCCCGCATGGTACACACCCACAGTGCACACCTGTGCTCACGCCTGGGCAGTGCATGCTGGGACAGGCCCATGTGCCGCACACACACACAGGCCTCTAATCCAGCGCAGCAAGGAGCAGATGGAAGCCCCCAGGGCTCGGAAAAGCCCCAGATCTCCAGTGACACCCATTGTGTCGTCCTCAGGCTGCTGGCCAGCAGACGGCCATACCCTATTTGCCTATAACTGCAGGCTTCTCATGCTGCCCTGTCCAGGCCCAGCCAGCCTCACCTGGGACCCTGCGTGCTCCCAGGTGGGCTCAGCCTGTCCACCTCCACTCCAGGTCCCATCCTTAGCCCACTGACCCATCAAAGCCCATTTTGCCCAACATTTCTGCCTCCAGGGGTAACTGACGTGCATCCCTGGGCAGGGGGCAGAAGCTGCTGCCCAGATGCCACATGGGGCCTCCCCAGGAGGCTCCTCAAATGCATTTCACAACTTTGGGCAGGAGGAGGAAGTACGCGTAGGCCTTTGTCAAGACTAGCTTCCCGGGAGAGTGCCTGGGAGTACAGAGTACATCTGAGTGCAGGGGAGGAGCGCCGAGGGCCAGCCCTGGCTCTGAGGACATGCTCTGTGCCCTGAACAAGGGTGTCTGGTCTCTGGGCCTCAGCTCCCCCAACTATACAGAAAGGGGTCTCACTGAGGTGCTGTCTCTGGCCTCTCCCAGCCCCAAGACCTCCCTGGCAAACACACACCCCACCCTACCCCTGGATCCAGCCCCAGCTTCTCAGAATGCTTTTGAACATCATGCTTTTTCCAGAAGGCAGGTGGCCTTCTGAGGACAGCCTTCCTGAACCCCAGTGCCCCCCCCAGTCCTGGCACCCTCCCTTGGCGCTTTACCCATCTCCAGTTCACATGAGTCGGGGGCCAGGCTCTCATCACACAGACCTCTGCCCCAGCAAGCCTGGTCCCAGTCACTCAGCCAAAGAGCGTTTGCTGAGTGAATAACCGACGTAGTGGGTCAAGCGTGGGGACAAGATCCAGCGACAAGGCAGGGCCAGCCTGCCAGCCACCACTCCAAGACCCTCCTGGGGGAGTCGCACTAGGCCACTCCCCGGCCGGTCCCTCGGCTCCCAGGGATAGGGGCTGAGCCTCCACCTCGTACCTGTGGCTCTAGGGTGCCCAGGCAGGCCTGCGCCCGCCCCTCCCCCCCAGGGCCCCTGGCCCGCATCCCTCAAGGTGCGGCGGCCGGCTGGGGCAGGGGCGCAGCACCCCCGATCTGGGGGGCGGTCCGTGGGCAGCAGCGCGCTCAGGGGGGCGCAGAGGGCAGCCCCGCCGGGTCTCTCCCAGCGAGGCGGCGGGGGGAGGAGTGGCTGTGGCCGGAGCCGGCGGCCGGCCTGACTCACGGACTGACTAAGCCAGCGGGGGCGGCCGGCCGGCCTGGCTCCCGCCCAGCTCCACTTGGTGGACGGGCAAACTGAGGCCACCCGGCGGGCGGTGGCTGCAGGGACCCCGCTCCGCGCCGCCCCATCGCGCGGCTCCCCACACTGCCCCCGCCCGGCGGCGCCGGCAGCCCCGGCCTCCGCTTCCCCGCCTGCGGGCACTCACAGGAGGTCGGGCCGGTGGCGGTGCAGGATGGCGCAGAAGGCCAGGCCGTCGCGGAACGACGTGGTCATGTTGGTGATGCTCACGCCCCGGTAGCCCTCGCACTGCTGACGGCACCACTGCTGCAGCGCCTTGGTGGCCGCCATGCGGGCAGCGGCGCGCGCCCCGGCGGCCGCGGGGCTCCAACTGCGCCTCCCGGAGCCGCGGACGGA